GGTAACTTAAACTTTTTCCTAAGACTAATTTGCTGTAAATTTGGAGCAGAAGTACAACTGCTGGACTGTTCAATTAAAAAAAATTGACCTTATAACTATAGCAGCGTTGCTTTTGGAGATAAATACCAGTTTGTTTTGTAACTTGAAGAAGAAAACAAAGGAGGAGAAGGAGGAATAGAAATGAGACTGAAGTTATTTAAAAAGTGGGTACAAGTTAAAAGTTTTAAAAAAAGTAGGTATAGATTAAATGGGGAGAAATTCAAAAATAGCCAGATTTACAGGTGGTCGTTTAAAAATAGCCCAGTTTCAAAAGTAATCAAAATTTAGCCACTTTTCATGTAAAGATAAATCTGAGAGAAAACACTGTTCAAAACCCGAAAAATACGCCAGTATATTATGCTGGAGTTCCAGCATAAGTATACTTGAATTCCAGCATATTATACTGGAGTTCCAGGATAAGTATGTTGGAACTCCAGCATGATATGATGGAGTTCCAGCATAAGTACACTAGAACTCCAATATAATATACTGGAGTTCCAACATAATATGCTGGAAGTTCATATACAGGTGCACCGAACTCCAGTAAATTTTACTGGACCGGTCTCTGTTGCAGCAAAATAGTGGCTATTTTTTATTGACTTGATAAATGCTGGCTATTTTTAAATGACCAGTCCGAAAGCTGGCTAGATCAGGTATCTTTACGATTAAATGGGGGCGACCAAATAAGGCGCCCCGTGCAATTTTTATAATATATTTTAATACATGTTTAAACTTATGTACTCCATTGTTCATGGGCCCATGTTAGACGGGAAAGGCTCAATGGATATCAGCCCAAACATTAATGCCGTATTGGCCGAAAATTGAATAATAGGGTTTAGAGGGAAAAGTAAACTCAACAATTAAAAACAAAATAAAAAAAGAAATATTACTATTCGAACCAGAGGAAGGACACTCTTATCTTCTTCTTCTTCCTGGAATTCCCGCAAAAGCAAGAAAGAAGACGCTATAGTAACCGCGGAAAGAAAGCTTTCAAAAGAAGTGTCGGCTTTGTGTTTGAGTAAATGTCTGAATGGCTCTGCTAAAGCCTTATCCTCTTCAACACTCTCTTCGCCGCATGGCTTCTCGCTTTCTTCTTCACTCTCACTACCATACCCATACTCTTTCCTTTTCCTCTATCTCTCTTTCTCGCCCCTCTATTGTCCTTAACCCCAGGTTCCTTTCTCTCTGTTTCCCTCCATTATGTAAACTGTATACCTCTCTCTCTCTATATGTGTGTGTATACATATTTATCTGTTTCATTATGTGTTTAAGTTTTAAAAACATTTTATTTCTCTTATCTCTTGTTGGGAAAAAAATTAAAATCTTTGAGGGAAGAGCATTAAGGTTAGCTGAACTTTTTCTTGATACATGCACGCACCTCGGCTAATTGCATATTTACTCGATAATTTTTTCCACCAATACTTGGACACATAAGAGGAAATCACCTAGTGTTTTTGCCTCCACTGGACTTGAACGTGAGACCTATTGGTTCTTGATCCACCACTAGGCCACACCCTTAGTGTCGGGCCAACTTAAGGTTAGCTGATTTTTTGTTCAAATGAAGGGCATTTAATAGCAGGGGTCCTTTTTAGGAAGGGCGATGTTGTAACCATTTGAGGGAAATAACTGATTTTTTTGAGGGATTAATGTAATGTTTTGGGTTGGGTGACTTGGTATAATGAAAGCTATTTTGACAACTGGAGCCTCTTTTTAATTTGTTTTTCTTTGGTTTTGCTTTTAAAGAAGGGGGGAAAAGGGCACCCTTGGCCTTTTCTGTGTTTATCCATTTTGGTTTTTGAACTTTAGTTGCTGGTGTAATATATTTAGTCAAGTGAGTTGTTAGTTGCATACTGACACATGTTCATTTGGTTCTTTATACGCTAATTTTTCTGTATTTTGAAAAACTAGATTATTGTTTCAGAACGGTGGGATAGCCTTATTTTTAGGAATATGAATGTTGTTGGTCAGCTTAATATTGTTAAACATGAGGCTTTTGGTGCTTAATTTAAAGAAGACGGAAGTGCTGCCCGTTTATTTGCTAGTTAATTTATTTTTTCGATAAGTAATGCAACCCTTTTCTTTGTTTGTAACTATTTGGGTTTTTGAACGTTTTCTTGTTGGGGTTTATCTTTTTAAGAAACTTTGTGGACTTGTTTCAGGGTGATTAATAAGCTGAGGAGACTATCAGATGCGATTTTGATTAGAAACATGGTGTCTCCAAGAGCTTTTATGTCATCAAGCACTGCTACAGAGGCTTTTCAAGAAAATACAAAGTCCAAAGCTTATGGTTCTGAGCAAATTCAGGTGAATGACTATGATTATATTCATCATGTTGACGTTTTGTTTTTATGTAAGATTGGAGAAAGCAAAGAACTTCTGATCATGCTGGAAAGTGACCCATTCTTTTGGAGTCTAGATAATGTAGGTCCTTTCTTGAAACCCAAAAGAGGACATCACTCTGTGGCCGAGTGTGTTCCAGTGAGATGCTCTCAGTCTGGAGTAATGTATACGAAGATGGGATTATAACTTGATACTGGATTTTAAGTTGGTGGGTGATTCGTTTTCTATTGTGTAAGCACTTTCAAAGACCAAAAGTGATGCATTGACAGGCATTTGACATGTCAAACAGGTACAGAATGCTTGAGAAAAGCATGTGGCCCTTGCTATTATCGTACTCAGAACGCTATGTATTTAAGCTCACAGATAATTAACCAATCTCTGCTAGATAAAATGGATATCTCTGAGTTCTGTATTAAGTATTTGATGATATTCTCTCTATTTGAAAATAAAATTGAAAAAAATACAATAAAATGGTAGTGTACTTAAGATGGAAATTGTTTTATGTGGGGAAGTGTTTTACCTTGGGAAATCTTTTATAGGATCATTTTCTAATATTTAGTTGGGTATAAAATAATAAAGTTAATGAACATGCTGGCAGTCGAAGAGCTAGAGTAACGACCATGGTCACAAAGGTTGGAAGAGGCAACACTAGGTGAATTCTTCTTATCTACCTAAGCTTTCATAGCCAGAGGCCCAGAGCTATGCGGTGCTACGTTGGTGGAAGATAATAGGTATAATAGGTACACAGTGAATTAGTCAAGGAGTGTACAAGTTGGTCCAGACACAATCATTATTAAAATGAAGTGGATGATAGGGTACGAGCTACGAGGATAGTGTTATGGTAGTGTTCCTCAGTATTAAAAGTTGATAACAATCTCTAAGTATTGGTTGAAGGCTTGAAGCAAGTGAGTTTTTTCTGAGAGAAAGGTAATTATATTATGAGTGCAGCACTAAGGAAGTGCTGAAACATTTACAGGTGCGCAAAAGCAAAAGAAGAATCCCTTTCTAATAGGGATTCTAAGAGGTTAAGTAGTGATTCTGCTTCAATTATGAATTCCTCCTTACATCAAAAGGAAAATAGAAGTATACAGTTAATTTGATCTGCTGAATTGAGTTAGCTTTATCTTGTTTTTTTTCTTTGCTTCCAACCAATCTACCTCATGTATGTTTTGATTGTATTCCACCACAATGTGCTGCTGCTCCTCTTTCTACCTCTTTTCCAGCAGTATAGCGGGTCTGAAGCAAGTGAATTAGAGTAAGAGTTGAGATATTTGTGATTGAAAATGACTTCCATTGGTGACGGAAGTCATATTGCTCCTTTTGGTGGAAAATAATTTCCTTCGAGAAAAGATTTTCCTCAATTCAGTGTTAGCTAACATTAATTAACTTATTTTCTTCATACCAAACACACTTTAGTTTTTTGAATTTTGAAAATGATCATCCATATTTAAGTGATGTGGTATTCTACATGTACGTTATGAAAGAATGCAATTCTTCCATTTCAATTTTGTTACTTTTGTTTGTCTTTTTCGTTTTTCATTTTCAGTTTCTTCTTTTACCTTTCTATCCTCTATTTAGTCAAGGATATATATATGTATTGTTTGCACATTAATCTGCTCTATCACTTTATTCTGTAGGTTTAGAGTTGCTTATTACTTGTAAATTAGTTTGACCGGAAAATAAACCAGCATTCTCAAAGGCTCATTTAAGGCGTGCTTAAGCCCTGAAGCTCAAAAGCTCAGGGAGGGCGCTTCGCCTCGCTTAAGCTGTACTTCAGTGTAAGGCAAGGCATTAAGGCGTGTGCCTCATGCTCATGAGTTCTTTGTTGAATCAAGTTGCACTAAATAACAAATATAATTAGAAATAAGTGCATTAGCAACAATCAAATAGGTATATTAATTGTTAAGGATAATATTATGAATCTATTTTGTTACTTTGTCCTTGAATTACATATGTATTTTTTCCCCTTCATTGCACCTTTTTTTATACCAAACCCATACTTTAAGTGCATTGTGCGTTTAAAGCCCCAATAGACCTTGAATGCTTTTTAGAGTTTTTTGCCTTTGACAACACTGAAACAAACATGCATTTTAGGGTGATAAGGAAAATACTTAAATTAAAACAACTGCTTTCACAGGTTATGCAACACAGAAATGTCAAATATCTTATTTTGACCATAAGTATACATGCACAAGTACATGCAGCAGATATATAGTCTCTATTGGATCACTGACCGAATAGTGAATAAACTCTACTATATTGTGCATTACCTTTATGGAAGTCTGCAAGACATCGGTCAGCTTTTGAGTTACAGTTTACCTGGATAAGAATGTAATAGAGACAGTAACCTTCAGAATTACCTTTCACTAGCAAGTGCAGCTTAATGTGAAGCAAATATATATAGTTATGTTGGATATCTTTTACTTATTTGTTTCTCAGCAGTAATTTTCTTTTTAAATTGTTTGTTTTTTACTATTGAAAATAATTATTGATGCGGATAATATGTTGATCTTTTACCAGTAAAAATAATTATGCAAATTGCTGTCTCATTAGGTATTGGAAGGTTTGGATCCAGTCAGAAAAAGGCCAGGAATGTACATTGGAAGCACCGGACCTCGTGGTCTCCACCATTTGGTATCTCTAGACTTCTATGATTCCTTTCTTTTGATATATTTGGCGTTGCTAGCTACGCTTCTATTTATTCTTGACAGAACTTTTATTGTCCTAGTTATTGAACATATTTCCTTGTAGGTTTACGAAATATTGGATAATGCCGTTGATGAGGCACAAGCAGGATTTGCAACAAAGATAGATGTGGTCCTTCATGCGGATAACTCCGTGAGCATTGCTGACAACGGTCGAGGGGTATGTGCTGTCTTATTCTCTTCTGCAGAAGTAGGACTAACTTAATAGGAGATTGCACACACTAGCTTATGTAAATATTGTGTTTTTCTGTCATCTCATAAAGGATTGACTCAACCTTCTCTTGAATATTCTGCTGTCTTAGCACATAAGATGATGTTTGTGTCATCAAGCTGTTCATGTTTGTGATTTTCCCCTGTTCTCCCTTGCTTGTTTCCAGTCCTTCCTACCTTTCAAGGAGAGGTCCTGGACGCTGCATGTGATAGAAATGGTTTTAGGAAGTGTGCTAATAAGAAATTGACATGCTTGTATATGGTTGTCAAAGCTCCTTGAAGTTCCCATTCTGATCAAAACCTTATGCTTGTTGATAAAAAATTGTTTCTCATTAGATAACGCATTTTGTTGGGAATTTTTCAGATTCCGACAGAGTTGCATCCAGTGACAAAGAAATCTTCTCTGGAGACAGTTTTGACGGTATGTTCACATGGGATAGCCATTTTCAGGCTGTTTTTAAACACACCCACACACACACATATATGTTTATATGTTTTTTCCTACTCAGTGGATGGGGCTCAGTATCAGCTTCTCATCTAACTACAAGTCTATAAAGATGTGTCCAAAGTTATGAGATTTTTTTAACCTAACATTGTTTGAGAAATTTTAAATTTTGGAAAATCCTTGAAGCCATTAAGAGTTATGAAAACCTGTTATTGAACTCCCAAAGACGGTTCCTCAATAATGAAAGATTGAAGGTATTCCTTTTCAAAAAAAAAGAAACAAAGAAAAAAGAAAGTGAAAGACAAAGTGAAAGACGGAAGGTATAGTTGTTTCAAGATTCATCAGTCAGTTTTGTTCTCGGAGCTTTGGTCATAGTGGTAAGAGTGTAGCGCGTAATACGTGGGTTAAGCACACGTAATGGGTCCGAACTTGTCGCAGACAAAGCCTAGCATTTAATTGGAGAAGTGTAGATGCTTAGTAGTATCCACTGATTTTCGAACCGCGCGCCGCTGGCCCTCAGGAATTTCTCGGTTATAAAAGTAAAAAAGATTCAACAATCAGTAATCTCTCATTGAAATTTTATAGAAGAGTTCAGTGGTACTTTCCTATGGCTTTCTTCCCCAGTTGTCTTATCCTGCCCATACCTATGGTGATTTTGTATTAAGTATCAACCAGTGCTAGCATAATCTTCTATTTAGCATGATTGGCCCACAAAACCTGACCTAAGATACTCGGAGCAGTAGTATTAGTAACCCGGAGTTTTCTTATCCAAATTCCAAAAATAAAAAATAAAAAATTAGTGACCCGAAGTTTATGTGCTTTACAAGAATCTTCATCAGCTATTTTAAAAACACTACAACAAAGTGGGTGCAAACCTTGGAGATTAGGGTTTACAGAAAACACTAGGTTATTTCATCACATCTGCTTAATCCTTGACGAGCAGAATTACCCGATACATGTGCTGGTGGGAGGTAGTAGGTACCCATGGAATTATCAAGGTGCACGCAAACTGCCTTGACACCACCATTATAAAAAAAAGAGAAGCAGTATTGCTTGAGTAAGGTGCAAGGTTACTGCATAATCACATGCTTAAGCCGAAATTCAGAGAGGTATTTTCTTAAATTGTATTCAGAAAGGTGCTTTTAAAGCAGTGCCACAACTCATAATTAAATAGACTAATTCACTCTTGTGTTGGTTTTCTACTTTTTGGTATACCTCTTTTATACGTGACTACGTGTATGTTTTTGCCTAAACGTTAATAAAATTTATTACCTTTAAAAAAAATTGAAGCACAAACTCACTCTTGCTTATTGTTTATATAAATGGATCTAACAACAACAAACCGAATATAATCCCACAAGTAGGGTCTGGAGAGGGTAGTGTGTATGCATACCTTTCCCGTATCTTGTGAAGGTAGATAGGCTATTTCCAGTAGACCCCCGACTCAAGGAAAAAAGCAAAAAGAAGCAGTAACAACAAGCAGTAGCAACATCAAGATAAGATGATAAGATAACCGAAACGAAAGAAACAACAGGTAATGATATAAATCTAGGAATAAGAAAATGCAAGAGTAATACTAATATGGCTGGTATGGAAAAGAGATACGCCCGATTACCTACTATTAATTCTCGACCTACACACCCTTCTATCAAGAGTTATGTCCTCTGAAAGTTGAAGCTACGCCATGTCTTGGCTAATTGCCTCTTCCTAATACTTCTTAGGCCTACCTCTATCTCTAGAGATCCACTCTATTGTGTATGTTGAAAAGTTTTGTTGATTATAAGCGCCTAGTTATATACTGTACAACCAATAATATTGTAGTTTCCGGCTTTTAAAATTTATTACATTCTTCTGAATTGACTCTTGTGCTACTTACTGATGTTGTTTGCACTGTTGCAGATAGTATAAAATCATGGAAATCAATGTTTATGAATTTCTGTCTATATGGAAACCATGCTTTTAGAATAGACAATGAACCAAGAGTATATCTTGATGATGTGTTTGCAAATTGTGCAGGTTTTGCATGCAGGTGGTAAATTTGGAGGCTCAAGTAGTGGCTATAATGTGTCTGGTGGATTACATGGTGTGGGCCTGTCAGTTGTTAATGCATTGTCACAGGTATCAATATCATATTTTGGAGATTTCTGCTATCATTTTCCAATACACTGATAATGAATGCAGAATTTGTAATTTAGAATATATTTGTGCTATAGCCGCACCTTTTCTTTTGTGACGGTTGTCGCTAGTTTTTCTGCTCTTAAATGGGTTGCTTACTGTCCTTCGTGTTTTATCCCTAGATTGTTGCTATTACTTGTTGCTGCCTTGTTTCGGTTTTCTGATTGCATTACTTAGTGTTAGTTTTGTATTTTCGCTTCGGTTGTCATATTGGTTTGCTTGTTATTGCCCCTTCCTTTTTCCTTCCTGAGCCGAGGGTCCACCGAAAACAGCCTCTCTGCCTTTTTAAAGGCAGGGTAAGGTGTGCGTATAATCTACCTTCCCCAGACACCACTTGTGGGACTACACTGGGCTTCTTATTGTTGTTGTTGTTGTAAATGGGTTGCTTACTTTAGCTTTATGTTGTTCTCTTGTTAACTAACTGTCTAAGGATACTTTAATCAAATTTGTCAGTGCCATTGCTTTAACTAGATAAGTGGTCTCTAGTTGTAGAATGACCTCAAATGTTGTTTACTTGCATATTTACGAGATTGTTTAAACATTCTCAGGTTTTTTCTTTTGTGACAAATATGTGCAGTTCAGGATCTTTCAAAATTTTGAATTGTATTCTAGACTTGTTGTTCTGGGTTTTCATTTTCAAAAGTTGATTGTGTTCCCTTCTTGGGGTGCCATTTATCTCATTTAAGGAAAGCAGATATGAATTTAGGCTATAATCAGAGAGACTACATTCTGAAAATGATAACAGACAATCCATTGTTCACCTCTTGCATGTGTGGACATAAATCAATAGTTGAGCAGTTCAACTCTTCATTCAGTGACCTTTTGATTTCTAAATAGAGCAGTGTTCCGTGAGTATCTAAAAGGAAATGAAATAATGTTTGTAGTATTACATGTATTTGTAGTTATATTTTGTTTGTCTTGCTAAAAAAAAACTCTCGTTTTCATCAGATATGCTTTTTGTCAAAAATGTGACCGCTGATGGGTTTCGTCCTTTAATTGAATAGTACTAGTATGAGTGCGGTAATGTTTCATCTATTTCTTTTTTCTTCTCTTTCCTTTTGGGCTTTTGGTTGGGCGTTAGTCAAGATAGTTTGAAGAAGGCTTAGAGAATTGCAGTAAAAGAGAGAGAGAGAAGTGAAAGTAATATGAGTCTTTACTCTGTATTGAATAAATGTAAGCACTTGGTACTGCAGTAACCCTGATGAATGGAAGAAATGGTCACAAAGGCTGACGTGAATGGTTTGATTGCTTTTGTATATAATGTAGAGCGTAGCTGACAATGTTCAGCAAAATGCTTACAGACGTGATCACTTTTCCTTTGCTAATCTTTCAGCTTTCTTGAGTAGTGATCTATATCATGTTCTCTGATAGGCCCTTGAAGTTACCATATGGCGTGATGGTAAAGAATACCAACAGAAATATTCACGTGGGAAGCCAATAACAACTTTGATATGTCATGACCTCCCGGTGGAAATGAGGGATCGACAAGGGACTGCCATTCGGTTTTGGCCTGATAAAGAAGGTAATTACATTGTCGTCAAACTCCAAAAGATGTTGCTGCCATCTCCTTTCTTATCATGTTTCCAATTTCTGTATTAGCATCTAAAGTTCTGATGACATCTTGCTTTGCAGTATTCACAGCTGAAATACAATTTGACTATAACACCATAGCTGGGAGAATTAGGGAGCTTGCTTTCCTCAATCCCGAGGTATGTCAAGATTGTTCTCGCAGAGAAAAGCCTACTTGCTCTTGCTGCTTTTAATTTATGAGCAAGTCGGTGTAGCTTCTTACTCTGTCACCTTTTAAAGAAGTCGAAATAGAAAGGGATAGGAAATTGTCAGTAATATTAATTAGATTCATGCAAAGTTTTCTGAACGATGCTGTCAAATGATGCCTTTGAGAGGTTTTGTTCGTGGAAGGAACTTCAGTGGCTGTTTGAATGTCTTCCTTCTTCAACCTATGGTTTAAGTGAAAATGCTTATGCCATTTGGTGACTGTATGTTGAAGTTCATTGCAATGCATTTGACATTCCTCATTTCTGCATGCTGCATTTTGGTGCATAGACATACATAAACTTCTTCCAAGAAATGAAAGCTTCTTATGATTGATAACTATATTTTCATATGCAAGATTCAGTTTAGTTTCAAACAATTGAGCAGTTCTTTTATTTCAGCTAACAATTGCTCTCAAGAAGGAAGACGTAGATCCAGAGAAGATCCAATGCAACGAGTACTTTTATGCTGGAGGATTGGTTGAATACGTGAAATGGCTGAATGCAGACAAAGTGTGTTTGTCTTTTCCCTTTTACTTTTCACACACTTCATTTTCTCTTTGAAATTTGGGAGTAAATTGTTTGCTATTGAAAATTTAGAACTGGCGGTAAAAGGCTTATTGCATTAAATTGACGAGCTTGAATATGTTCAGGTTATTCAGGGTGATCTCTCATACATACATGTCATGTTACATGGTGTCCTTGTCCGTAGGCATCACGTCTAGAAAATTGAACGGAACCAGCAAATTATATTTTATTCTCCCTTGTTTCAAATTTGTTCTTCCCATTCTGATTTGGCACTATTATTAAGAGGACTTTAAAATTTGAGCTGTTTAAAATTTGAGCTGTTTAATATTTGTTATGAAGCATATTTGGATGTTTTTTCCTTATAAACAACATATCTTTTCGTTTGCACTACAAAATAATAAATTAAGGATGAAGTTGTATTCAGAAGAGTAGAACTGATTTCTATAAAATATTTTGTGGTATATAATATGTATCTATAAAATGCTTTGTGGTGCCATTTGAGTAATGTAGACAACATCTTGGGTCATTTCAAAGAGGAAAGGTGTCACACCCCGAACCTGGGCCTAGACGTACACGGCACCCGGTACCTGATTACATGTGACCGAGCAAACCAACTGGCTGGCTGAATGAACATGTGATATCATAACATATTGAATGCTGAGATAAACTAACTTATGCTGATATAGTGAAAGTCTGAATGATATAAATCTAAGTGCGAAAACACTAATATGTCTGAAACATATTCGTAGCCAATTTTGCTTAACATAAAAAGCCTACGACTTTTTCTAACTGATACTCTAGTCTATGAAGTGTCTAATGAAGTACTGAAAACACTAAAAGACTGTAAAGTAATGATATTGCCCCGAAAGAATGGGGGCTCACCCAATAGCTGGTATGAGAATCCTAGCACTCTGAATTATCAATCCTTAAATTATTACTTGCATCGTGAGATGCAGGCCCCGGACGAAAGAGACGTCAGTACATTTGAATTGCACTGGTATGTAAAGCAACTGAAAGAAAGAACTGTAAATACTGAAATTGAAATTGAACTGATGACTGAACAAGGAAGTAAAGATATGAATACTCTCTCCTCTGAATGATGAACCACCTGTTTATCTGAATAAATAAACTGCGGCTTCAGGCCTAATATATATGTGCACAAGCTACAGCCTTGGGCCCAAGTATACATATACATAACTGCGGCCTTAGGTCCAAAGATGCATAAAGCATAAACTACGACCTCAGACCCAAATACATGTGTTCAACATTCAGGAATTTAAATTCAGGAACTGAGAATCATATTGCAATACATGATATTGAAATACTGAATCATTCTGAGTTACATGATATTGGAATGCTGCATAGGAACTAGACTGAGACATGTATTCCTGAACTGATAATGAAAACTGAAACTTCAACTGTTTATGCCATGCTGAGTACTCTAGACTGAGACTTATGGGCATTAAACACAAGTCTATATTGATTATCCACTGAGCTTACAACGTTCGGACTGAAAGTCATGAACAAATTATGAAGCTAGAAATAGAAGTTATGCAACTATTCAAAGAACTAAGCTTAACCATATTTCTGAGCAATTAGTAACGTTGTAAAAGAAACGTAGTGTAGGAGAATCATTAACATTCCCAACCATAGAGAGTTAGCCTCATATACCTTAACTTCCTGCTCTTGAGCCTAATACAACGTTCGCCAACCCTTTCAACTTTAATCTATAATAATACAAGTCAAAGGGATTCCATATTCGCAATAATATTCATGTTTTGGTCACTTAGGCATTTTATCACACCTTATGGGCGTAAAGCCTCATAGCCTTTGTTAAATGGTATTTTCTTCACCCAATTCTCATTCTACTACTTCTAGGCGATTCTACAATCCCAAATATATGTAACTAACACCGTTTCTCATCACCCAAATATTTACAACAATCTTAAGTAAACAACCCAAATCCCTAGCATAGTTCATATGATTCTCTTTATCAAACCCATTTACTATTCTCCCAAGAACTCATCAATTCATAGCTATAAATGATTAGGGAGTAGAAGCATTACCTTTTTGAAGTTCAATCTTCTTGAATTCGAGTTCTAAGGTTTTTTTTCTCAACAATGATGTCTCAATCGAATATCTAATGATTTGAAGGGTTTACCCATGTTAATAAGGTGTTAGAGAATTGAAATTAACTTAGAAAATCATTATTATAACTTACCTTGAATGATGGAGGGACCTTGGAGGAAGTTGGGTTCTTGAGAGCTCCCCTTTCTAGAGCAAATCTACGTGTTTGGGGTGTAGGGAACGAGGTAGGGTTTAAATAAGTGTACACGTCCAAAAATTGAGGAGAAAATAAAAGTGGCCCGGATAGACATCGTCAGCGTGGGGGCATCACAGAGGCGCCAAAATAACAGTGCAAGGCGCCATCCGAGGCGCCAAACTACACGACCTTGCATCGTCAGGGGCGCTAAAGTTAGCGCTCTGCTTGCACTGTCGAAGGTTGGAAGACAGACTTTCCATAAACTTAGTTGATTCTATCGAATCTTATGCACCTCACTCTCCGTCTTGATTCCAAAACAACTATTTCCAACCATACTAATCCCGATAGGACTTCACATGTCTAAAATGTCACATTAATACTCATTTAACACATCCACACCTAAACCAAATTTTCTAAGTGTTACAAAAGGAGGACAAGCATTTTGGTAAATGGGGTATTTGTTCCATGGTATCACGATCTACAGTTCTAGCACAAAAGTAATAGTATATCTGAATCAAGTCTGAAATTGGAATATCCTTGCTTCATCAGAAAAATCGAGTCTGAAATCTGTCCGATAATGTTATGCATGTATATTTAACAATGACTTAAATTAATTACTGTCTTTGCCCCTAGGGCTTTGGTCCAGTGGCAAGAGCATAGAGCATGATGTGTGGGTTAAGCACACATCACGGTTTCAAACCCTACCACAGACAAAAGGCTGGTATTTAAATGGAAAAGGGTAGACGAGCGAACCCATTATTCACCGAAAACCGTGTTCCACTAGCTCTCGGGAATTTCCTGGTTATCAAAAAAGAAAAAAATTGATTGACTTTTCCGGTGATGCTTTTGTTGTATGAAGTCTATTAAGTAGTTCTCGACTTCTCTCTGCTCTAGAAACCACTTCATGATGTGCTGGGATTCAGAAAAGAAGCTGATGGAATCACGATTGATATGGCTCTTCAATGGTAAGATATTCATATCTTTTTATCCTTCTATCCATCTTCCTCTATTTACTCTTTTCTTCGTCAAGCATGGTTGGAATTATAGCAACATATAATTTTTATGCTGCACCATGCCGTCATGCAGTGGTTGCATGGTTTTTTCCTTCTCAGCAATTGGTATGTATATGAATTGCGTGTTAAAAGTGGTATGTTTTACACATTTTCTTGTCTGTTTTTCATTGCAGGTGCTCAGATGCTTATTCAGACACGATGCTAGGTTATGCAAACAGCATACGGACGATTGATGGTGGCACTCACATAGATGGTGTGAAAGCTGCCCTAACAAGAACTCTCAACAATCTGGGGAAAAAGTCAAAGACAATCAAGGTTCGTTGAATTTAGGTTCATTGTTTCTTTTGTTTCTGTTTGCTCCAACAAAAATCTGTGGTGTTTTTGTATCTCTCCAGCCTTTCCAGTTTGCTGATACAGCACCAAAATCTGTTGGAATTCTTCTGGTTTTCGCTTGCACTTCTGTCCGTTTGACCATGATTGCTTGGATGTGTGCATGCTACCCCTTGCAATAGCTTTGCTGGTTTCAATTGGAAAAAATACTCTGCACCTTGTGTTCACATTGGAGCTTTAGTGCCTTCAGAAACTTTAACTTCATAACCACCTTATGTTCTCATTGTTTGATGTTTACACGAGCTAGAGGATTATTCTAAAGTCGTACGAGTCTTTATCTGGAATACCACCTTTCGACCTAAAGACTTTGTAGTTATGTGTAAGGAAATCACTTAAATTTATATAATAAAAAGTTTCCCTTTCAACTACTTAAAAATGAATCCATCCTTTGTTGACTACATTGTTTTTTGATAACCAAGAAATCCCCGCGAGCCAGTGGCCCATGGTTCAAAACCTATCAAAAAATGTGCCGGCCCCTCTACCCTTTATTAACTACATATTAAGAGAACAAAGTTTAAATAGTAGAGTTAATTGGAACCTATTGAAATTGAGATGTGTAAATAGTGGTTTAGTTCTTGTCACATCAAGGCCACTATAACATTGAGTAGTATTAGTTTGGTTTTTTCACATTTCGCTTTAGGAAAAGTGGTGAAATAAATTGAACAGGGAAAAATAATAGTAGATAAGCACTGGGATGGAGTATATTATTAGGTGAGAATACAAGCGTGCAAGGTCAATGAACTTTGGCAGTGCTGACTTCAACTTTTAACAAAATTTTTCAGCTTGGAACTGCTTATATGCAGACATCTTCGAGAAGTATAGTAGCATTGCTTTCTGGACCATCACATAATCTTAGTCATGGGGTCTTTTTACATCTGTTAGTTTTTCATTCAAATTATGAGTGCCGTAGACCAGAATGTAGGAGAAGTTTTTTTGTTCTTAAAAATAAGTCCTACTTAATCAATGCCTTCGAGAAAGAAAGAAAAAATGTTCTATTTGTTCAAAGAGGAAAAGACAAAAATTGAGGTTCAGTCCGAATCTCCAATTCCGCCTTTCGGAATTCGCTATTCACTTTCCCTCTGACACACTAATTGAGTGCAACCAAAATATTCGATCACCCTAAATCTGCAAAATCTGCTGTGTTAGCTTGAACTCTCTCTGTTTAATGTCTCAATAAGTAGGGATATTTGGGTTACTCTTTAAGTTTTGTTCGTTTGTATTATTCAGGAGAAGGACATAAGCTTAAGTGGCGAGCATGTAAGAGAAGGATTAACCTGTGTTATTTCTGTTAAAGTTCCGAATCCAGAATTTGAAGGACAAACTAAGGTATCTCTCTCCTTTCATGGTTGAAAATTTTGTTACAATTGTTATGGTATAAAAGTTTTATGAAGCCTTAAAATCTCCAATTTTTGTGAGGCCGACATTGTTTACTATGTTTTCAATTGAAGACTAGGTTGGGAAATCCTGAGGTTAAAAAGGTGATCGATCAGTCAATTCAAGAGTATCTGACTGAGTATCTGGAATTGCATCCAGATGTGCTAGATTCAATTCTTTCCAAGTCACTAAATGCACTAAAGGTACCTAAGTTTGTTACATACACAAGACTGATCTTTGTAAGATTAAGCTGACTAAGTTGCCTGCTTGAGGACATCAATTGGTGTTATAAGAAATTATTTTACCTGCTGTATCTATTGCACCATATGCAGGCGGCTCTTGCAGCAAAGAGGGCTCGAGAGTTGGTGAGACAGAAAAGTGTCTTAAAATCATCCTCTCTTCCGGGGAAGCTTGCTGATTGTTCAGCCACAAATCCTGAAGAAGCTGGTAACTTACCTTATTATGGATTTTAAAACTAGTGTGACATTTGGGTCAAACATTTAATTTTAGTTGCATGAAATATATAGGACCTTTCTCTGTAGAAAAGACTGAACGTTTGGCATGCTTCTGAGTGTAGCTCATGGATTTTGAGCGCAAACAATCTAATAAAGTAGTTATGGGCATCCATTGCTAATAGGAATTAGGAAATACCTTATTTCCATATTACTGCAATAGAGTTGGTTCTACTGCAATAGAGCTACCTTCCCGAAGGTAGGGGTAAGGTCTGCGTACACACTACTCTCCTCATACTCCACTTGTGGGATTTTACTGGATTTTATGTTGTTGTTGTTGTTGTTGTTGTAGAGTTGGTTCTATGTTGGTGGTGTTTTTGTCACTAGTAAGGAGGCGTGCAATGTTCGGGCTAGTTTTTTTCAAGAGATCCAAAATATACTTCCTTTGAGAAATAAAGATTCCTCTTTTGGATCTAGCAACCTCAATTCCTAAGAACTGCAGTTTTCCTAGATCCTTAATCTCAAATTTATGTACCAACAACTAGTTCAATCAGGCCATCTCCTCTTTGTCATCTCCTGTCATTACTATGTCATCAACATAAACTATGAGAACAGTGAGTTTACCCGTTTGATGTCTTATGAAGAGGGTGTGATCAACATTGCTTTGTTGGTAACCGAAGGAGATATCATTGCTTTGCTGAATCTGTCAAACCAAGCTCTGGGGGATTGCTTCAGTCCGTACAAGATTTTCTTCAATCTGCATACCTTTCCTTGACTCTGTGCATTATCAAATTCAGGAGGAATCTCCATACTTCTAAGTCTCCATGAAATGCATTCTTTACATCAAACTGTTGCAAGTCCCAATCAAGATTAGCTGCACAAAACAAAAAAATTCTAATAGTGTTCATCTTAGCAACATGGGCAGATGTCTCTTGATAATCCACTCCATAAATCTGAGTGAATGCCTTAGCCACCAATTTTGCTTTGAATCTTTCAATTGAGCCATCAGCTTTGTGCTTTACAGTGAAGACCCATTTGCAGCCAACCAACTTCTTGTCTGGTGGTGAAGTGACAAGTTCCCAAGTCTCTTTTTTTGACAAGGCCTTCATTTCTTCAATCATAACTTGCTTCCATCTAGGATCTGCAGAAGCTTCCTTCCAATTCTAGGGAATAGACACAGAAGAAATAGACAAGACAAAAGCTCTATAAGAGGGAGACAAAGAATTATTGGAGACAAAATAAGATAAAAAGGGTGTTTGGTGGGGCAAGATCTGGCTGTTTTTTTGTGAGCAATAGGCACATCTAACTCATTAGGAAATGTAGATAACTCACCAGTAGAAGAAGGTTCAGCTTCGGTAGATTGCATGATGGCTTCTTCTACTCTAGTTCTCCTTGAGTAAGGTTTCAAATCAGGCCTATCCAAATGCCCAATAGTTTCCCACTGAATTCTTCAATCTCATTTTCCCATGTGACAATGTCATCAAGAGGTTCAGTAATGGAACTAGGTAGAATCACCTCTTCCTCTTTACTACTCTCCCCCTGAAGAGGTGATGAGGTAATACTGAAATATGACTCAGATTCTCGAAAGGTAACATCCATGCTAACAAAAGATATCCTAGAGGGAGGATGATAATATTTGTAACCTTTTGTGTCGGCGAAACACCCAATGAAAACACACTTTATAGCTCTAGGATCAAGTTTCCCAGAATTTCTATTGTGGACAAAGCAAACACACCCACACACCTTTGGAGGAACAGTATATTCATTCTTAACCTTTAAAGCTTCTAGAGGCTTTGAAAATTGAGGGGTTTAAGTGGCATTATGTTGATAAGATAGGCAGCCGCTAGAATAGCATCTCCCAGTAAGGTTTTGGTAGATGCATGGTGAACATAAAAGATCTTGCTACTTCTAATAGATCCCAATTTTTTCTTTCAGCGACCCCATTTTGTGCACTAGTGTAAGGACAACTAGTCTGATGGACTATCCCATTGAACTCCAAATAAGCACCAAATCTTTTATCCATGTATTCACTGCCATTGTCAATTCTCAAGATTTTTATTTTGGCATCAATCTGAGTACATATCATCTTATAAAATGACTGAAAATGAGAGAAAACTTCACTTTTGGTTTTTAACAAATATACCCAAGTCATCCTAGTGCAGCAATCAATGAAAGTAACAAATCATCGACTACCAGACAAAGAAATAATTTGGGTAGGACCCCATACATCAAAATGAATAGTCATAAACGGAGTTGTGCTAAACTATTATCACTCACGGGATAAGAGTTTCTAGTATGCTTGGCATATTCACACCCATCACAAAACAAAGATTCAAATCGAGTCCTTGAAAACAAATTGGGATATAACTTCTTCAAAACAAAGAACGATGGGTGTCCTAATCGTCTATGCCGCAGTATTATTTCTTGGTTGACATCCTTACTTTCCCCAAAATAGGCTTGACCAGAGTTTTGAATTTCATCTAACATATACAAGTCATCACGCAATCTACTACTGCCAATTCTTTTCCCCTGTTTCAAGATCCTGAAAAATATAATGATTGGGAAAGAACTCGGTTTTACAGTTTAGAGCTTTGGGGATGGCACTAACAGATAGAAGATTGACAGAGAACTCAGGGACATGGAGCACGTATGATAGTTTTATATTAGGAGTACAAACGACAAAACCTGTTTCAGAGGTAGGTATTAAAGAACCATTGGCTATTTTAACATTATCTCCTTTTGGAATCGGAGAATAGTTTTGAATGCTTTTAGAAGAGCCTGTCATGTGTCTATTTGCACTAGAATCAACAATCTAAGAATTAAGGTGAGCAACAAAGGCAGTATCTGATTGCACATGATTGGATATGGCAGCATTAGCTGAGTCAAGTTTGGCTAGGAGGCGACGAAGAAGTTGAATTTCATCTAAAGACAAGATTTCTCCTAAAATCGTCTCCTTGAATATCTCCATATTTCTACTCAATCCGAAGGAAATCTGAAGAAAATTTCTCAAAAATAATCTGTCTTGCTGGAAACCAAATCTGTCTCGAGCAAACCTTAGCTCCGGTGAATGGAAAAATAAAAAACCGGTAGGGATAGGCTTGGAATGTTCCGGTGACCCTAATAGAAAAGAAAATTCCAAAAACAAAATTGACCAGAAGGAGTCTGTGTGGGGGACAACCACTAAGAGAGAAAATTCGACCTAATGTAAATTAAGGAAATAAAATAAATCTATACAATCAATCCATGTATGTTTACATCCCATGAGCAAAGAAATTTATACAAAGCTCCTAATGTAAATTAAGGAAATAAAATAAATCTATACAATCAATCCAGCTATCAAATCAAATCAAATAAGATCTCCTAAATATAACCAAGTCTCCTGAAATCATGCTAATCAATACTCCTAAATCAAATATCCTTGAATCATGCTAATCAACACAAAGTAGCGGAATCCCAAGATAGGACTGACCCGACTAGGACCCCAAACATCTGAATGGACTAAAGTGAAAGGTGACTCCACTCGATTATCGAGATGCCTAGGGAAATGGGAGCAAGTATGCTTATCGAGCTGGCACTTGTCCACTCTAGAGTGGACAAGTGAGATAATCCAAGTACCATTTTCTGAAGTTTTGACAAACTGGGATGTCCCAATCATTTATGTAATAAATCTGGTGAATCAGTAACAAGACAAGTTGTTGAAGAAAGACAAGATGTGAGTTCATGTGATTTAGCAAGGATAAGGTTATAAAGTCCATTTGATTCACGGTCGGTACCAATGATCCGCCCCGTACTTCATTCCTGTATAGAAACAAGGCCATCAAGAAATAAAACAGAACATTTAAGTGATTTGGCTAAGCGACTAACGGCCACGAGATTAAAAGGACTGCTGGGAACATAAAAAACTGAATCTAAAGGTAAGGAAGGAAGTGGACTTGCTTGACCTATTCTAGTTGCCATGATTTGAGACCTGTTGGCCATTGTGATTGTTGGAAGAGATTGACAATATGAAATAGTAGTGAAAAGAGATTTGTTACCAGAAATGTGATCAGATGCACCTGAATCAATGACCCAAGACTCGGAGGATGAAGATTGGGAGACACAAGTCACACTATTACCTATTTGAACTACGGAAGCAATCTCTGAAGATGTATGGTTACACGTTTTATACTGAAGGAACTCAATATAATCCAGTAGAGAAACCATCCAACTATTTATAGTATAAGATCCCATTTTGCTACAACCAATTTCTCAAAGTCTTCGCTAAAAGTTGTATGGTTAACCTTAGAATGGCAAATCAGAACACTTATTGATTTATTTATTTATTTATTTTTCTCTCTTAATTAGATGGAGTTGAAAGTCAAGGTTTTCACTTGAAATAGTGGAAATCAATAACTCCTGCGAGAAATTTGAAGAAATAGCTGGAAAACACCGTTCGCGACATGAAAAAAATACTATTCACACCAGAAAACGCCAAAGTTGTCGGATTAGAAAGAAAATTGTATGGACAGGCTCGAGATCACCTCTTAAGAAAGCCGTTCTAAAAAAGTTGGGCCAAAAAGTGGCCAGAACAGTCGCACGCGCCGATGCGTGAGACTGGAATGTCGCCGGAAAATTCACTGTCAGTGGCGCGTGAGGGCGCGTGGCAGGTATTTTGGCGGAGATTTTTGTTGGGGTTGGTCGCCAGAGGGTGATCTACCTCGTGGTAGTGTTGGTTTTTGCACAATACCGACAAAAAAGAACTTTAAATCCGACAAACCTACGGTCACCGAAGTTTTTTCGGCTAACTGATTTCTTCTTCGTGGAGTCACTGGTATTTTTGCACAGCGATGAATCTCTCACGGTAGCTCTGATACCATGTGAGAAGCACGAGAAAAAAATATATTATTGATATTATATTCAATTATAATACAATGAGCCGTATTCATACAATACGTATCCTGTTCCTATTCTATGTGGGACTAGGACTAGTTCACGTTATTTACATAACTATCTAACAATAAACTATGAGAAAAGTGAGTATA